GAGAAAAGCCTCTTAAGCTTTCATTCAGGGAGAATTTGGATCCTAGAAATCACAGAATTTCCTATGAGAGATTCCTCTAGAGATTCTTTTAATCCGTACCCAATATCTCTATTCTGGGCTCTAGAGCAGAGCAGTCCTGGGAAAATCTCTGTGAATATGAGAATGTCCCTGCTGTACTGGCCAGTGTGGTAGACCCTAGCCACATGTAGCTAATTGGGCCCCTAAAATGTGGCTAGTGCTAGTGTAGAACTGAATTTTAAATTTTGCTTAATTTTAATTAACTTAAATTGCCATATGTGACTAGAGGCCAATGCAGATAGTATAAAGTATTGGTTAAGCATGTGGATTTGTAAGTTTAGAAGACCTGAGTTTAAATCCTGTTCTATGGGCAACATGGCAAAACCCTGTCTCTACAAAATATATAAAAATTAGCCGGGCATGGTGGCCCGTGATATAGTTCCAGCTACTCGGGAGGCTGAGGTGGAAGGGATCGCATGAGTCCAGGAGGTGGCGGTTGCAGTGAGTGGAGATCATGCCACTGCACTCCAGCCTGGGTGGCAGAGCGAGACCCTCCCCCCACAAAAAAGTCCTATCTACCCCTCACCAGCTATGTGGTTTTGGGCAGGTAATTTATCCTCTGGAGTCTGCATTTCCTCATCTGTGCACACACATGCACAGCCCCTACATATGTAAATGTATAAGTGAATGTATGTATTTGATCCTCACAACAGCCCAATCATGAAGGTGCTATTATTATTCCTTTTAACATACAACACTCACATGCAAAGTGCTCAGGATGGCAAAGGCTACGTAACTATCTCCTCTTTTTCCTATTCAAGTCTCTAGGCAACATTTCCACTGGCATCTCCCACAAGCAACTCAAATCCTACATGTTCCAGACTGATAGCATACTTGTGTTCTCACAGACCTGCCCATCTTAGGGGCTCTCTAACCACAAAAGACACTTACCTACTCATTCCAAAGGTCATCCTTGATGCCTCTGCTTCTTTCATCCCCACCTCCAAGTTCTGTCAAGTTCACTTCCTAAGGCCAGCTCTTCTCTGTCTCCACCCCAAACAGCTAAAGTTTCCACCACCTTGAGAACCCACAGGATTGGTCTCTCCTGTTCATTCCATCCTTCTGTGGTGGGTTGAATTGTGTCCCTAAAAGCATATATTGAAGACCTAATCCTCAGTACCTGTGAACGGGACCTTATTTGGAAACAGGCTATTTGCAGATGTAATTCTTAACTGAATTACAGTTAAGATGAAGTCACACTGGGTTAGAGTGGACCCTAATCTAGTGAGCAGTGTCTTGATAGGAAAACACAGACACAAAAAGAGGATGCCATGTCATGACAGGGGTAGAGACTAGAGTGAAGTAGCTGCAAGCCAAGAAATAGCTGGGATTGCCAGCAACCCACCAGAAGCTGGGGAGAGGCCAGGGAGTGTCCTCCCAGTTTCGGACAGAGTTTGGCCCTGCTGACACCTTGATTTCAGACTTCTGGCCTCTAGAACGGCAAAAGAGTACATTTATCCTATTTTAAGCCACTGAGGACACTAATATACGTTCCTAACACATTCTCTGCACAGAGGCTTGAGTGATCTTTAAAAGTACAGATCTCACACCCCTTTTCCCCCAGGGTTTTTACTTCTCTTAGGACAGAATCCAACCTGCTCTGTCCCCTTCTGACCCTCTCAGCTTCACCTCTGACCACACTATCCTCACCTTCTGCAACCCCTCACTCTGTTGGCCTTAAATGAAGGGCCGAAAGAATAATTCAGTAAAAGCATAAATGCTAACCATTTATTAAAAGGTAACTCAATTCAGAATTTCCCAGATTGGTAACAACGCCACCACCACCACCAACAAAAAATCGTAAGTGGCTTTTCTCACTGTACAGTTTCATTCTCTTAAAACTTCCTTCCTCTCTGGTCTTTGAAGCCTGCCACAGCCCAAAGGTGAGGACATATGAGCTCTCAGGCCTGGAAATGACGAAAGGGGAATAAACTACTCTTCCTTGGCTTGCCATTACTTGTCACTGAACCTGGAACAAAGACATAAGCCAGCAGAACAGAATCCTGACTTGGTGATTTGGCTTCATGTCCAAATGACAAAGAAAGGGTGTGGGGATTTCAGAGGAAAACTACCGTGGACACAATAGCGCTCCAGCAGAAATGGTATCAGCTTGTAAATACGGAGAGCTGAACAGGGGGACGTAGGTATCTCTTATAGATGTCACAGATGGCAATAAGCCAATTCGGGGGGCGGGGATGTAAAGGAATGGAATGGAATGTTACTTATAGCCAATTGGACAGTTATTGAGCACCTGCCAGGTGTAAAACTCTTTGCGAGTTAAAGGTCCAGCATTTGGATTGCTAAAAACTTCTTATATCTATTGAATCATGTTCTCTTCATCTGCCTTGATTCCCGGGAATCCACATAAAGCCGCTGTCATCAGTAACTGAAGTACAATCCACAGTCCCATCACACTGCCCCCCACCCGACACACCCTCAGAAGTCAATTCATTTGCTTTGGCGCTGCACTCATATGCCAGAGGGAAGAGAATTCAGGTCTGTTTCCTGATGAGACTCATTGTGGGTAGGAGCAGGAGCGAGGGAAGGATGGGGCAGGATTTGATTTGGACTATATTCAAATCCATGCAAACATGGGCTATTAAAAAGGACTTCTACAAAGTATTGGAGATCAAATTAATGTGCTGTCTGACTAAGGAAACTCTTAGCTCTTGACATGGCAAAATGTGACCAAGAAAATTCTCCAAACCTCAAGCAACTGGTATCAAACAAGTTATCCACTTTCAGACAGGGTTTTCCCCCTATTTTGTTTATTGGTGTATTCCCAGTGCCTGGCCCAAAGCAGGTATCCAGTAAATAGTTTTAGCATGAGCTCTCCGTGAATATAGCCAACCATTTTCACTGTGATGAGAAAAACAGAAAGACACAGACATAAGAGCACATTGACTGGGCCCTTACTGAACTGTGAACCTAATAGTAGAGAGAGATTCTCTAAGAGAAGATGACGTTTATCTGGGAAAGGACATTGCCATGGGAATACGTGTGTCATGGTAAACGATGTGCAGAGTCAGGGCAGTAAAGGAAGATAAAGGTTTTCAAAGGGAAAAATAAAAAGGATTATATCATTGTTTTGAAATAATTGTCATTGGCTACAAAGATCAATAGCAAGGGTGACACTGGTCTGAGTTTGCACAAAAAGTTGCTGGGAAGATTTCTTCAAAAAAGTGTTTTTTGTGTAAGGTTTTAATGGCCTTTGTGCAAAGTTGTTATTTGTGCAGTTTTTGTGATAGTTTTAGTTATCAAGCCTACAAATGTGAGAACCCCCTTTGCATAACCTTCTTTGTGTCTATATATCAGGCTTTGTGCCTGTGTGTGTGTGTGTGTTTTAATATAAGGAACTCCATTTTAATTCTGACAACTTTCGCAGTACCAAGGGCTTTTACGCATTTCCTCATTCATTGTCACAACCACTGGCTCAGATAAATTCAATTATTAGCTCTGTTTTCAGGTGAAGAGAAATAGACTTAACAAGGTTATGTTAAAAATCCTGACACCCAGCACACTCCCAGATCAGCTCAACCTGAACCTTCGGGGGCAAAACCCAGGCACTGAGATCCCTTGAAGCTCCATAGGTGAGTTCAACTTGATCCAAGGTAAGGACCAAAGTTAAGCTGGCCCAGGTCCCCAGCTGGCTGGGAAGGAGCCTAGGTCAGGACGCCAAGCAGCCCAGTCCGGAGCTCACAGTTACCAACCACTGTGCTGCTTCCCGCCCTCGGCTGATATTCAAAGGAAGAAATGATTCCCTCTCCCTAGCTGCAGAAAGCCAACGAAGCAGATCCTAACCAGCAAGCACATGTCCACTCTAAGTACAAACAGAGCAAGCCCATAGGTTTCGAATCCTGACTCCAGTAGCTTGTATTCCCATTTAAACAGTGGCAACTGGGGGCAGTGGATTTAGCCCTCCCATCCCCGTGGGTTTGCTCAAATTGCCTTGGATCCAGACAACTGAGATTTCCGCAATCTTATGTAAAGTGTGAACAGAAGTATCATTATAAAAATTGGCAGAGCACAGTGTCTCACTCCTGTCATCCTAGCACTTTGGGAGGCTGAGGTGGGCAGATCACCTGAGGTCAGGAGTTTAAGACCAGCCTGGTCAACATGGTGAAACCCTGTCTCTAATAAAAATACAAAAACTAGCTGGGCACGGTGGCATGCGCCCGTAGTCCCAGCTACTTGGGAGGCTGAGCAAGGAGGATTGCTTGAACCTGGCAGGAAGAGGTTGCAGTGCACTGAGATGTCACCACGCACTGTAGCCTGGATGATGAGACTCTGTCTCAAAAAAAAAAAAAAATTGTGTGTTGAGTGGGTGAGGTGGCTCATGCCTATAATCCCAGCACTTTGGAAGGCCAAGGCGAATGAATCATTTGAGCTTAGGAGTTCGAGACTAGCCTAGGCAACATGGTGAAAATCCATCTCTATAAAAAATACAGAAATTAGCCAGGCATGGTGGTGAGTGACTGTAGTCCCAGCTACTCGTGAGGCTGAGGTGGAAGGACCACCTGAGCCTGGGAGGTTAAGGCTGCAGTGAGCCTTGGTCATGCCACCGCACTCCAGCCTGGATGATGAAGCCAGACCCTGTGTCAACAAAAGGAGAAAGAAACAAAGAAAGAACTTGTGTGTGTTGATGTAAATAATCTCACTAAAAATAGTGTGAGCTATATAAATTAGTTTTAAACAAGTCCCTTCTCCTGCTCCCACTGTTGCCCCAAACAGCCTAGGACCCTTAACTTCCCTTTATATAAATCCAGAGCCCCTGCTACCTAAACCGTTCTCAAGACAGCCAGCCCTGGGTCCCAGCAGGTCACACTCAGTCCCTCTCACCTCCCTTCTAGAAGGGGCAGGGCCAGCTTGCACTTTGCTTTCAGTTCCCTGCACCTGAGCACTAGGCTCCAGGCTCAGCTCACCAGCTTACCTGCAGCAGCCACAGCAGCAGTGCTAGAAGCAGCAGCAGCGAGGGGTGACTCCCGGATCTCATGGCCATATGGGAATACCCAAGACAGACTCAGAACGTGCAGCTGCTAACCAGTCCTCCAAGCTGGGGATCCCACCAGAGCCACACACCTCCTTCTCAGTCAGCAGCTTCTTCTCCAGTGGTTTCCAGGTCACTTTGGCCCAGACACTTTCATCCCAACTTGCTCCTCCCTTCTCAGCTTTTCTTGCATTTATCAGAGTGGGGAGGGTGGACTTGTAAGCTGGAACATCCGTTTGCCACAAGTAGAGTTCCTAGGAAGGGTGGGGTAGGAACTGAAGCCACCATGGTCCTGCACGTACACAAAAGACTGGCTGGGGTCTGACCTCAGGAACAACAGCTCAGCCAGGGGAAGTGAAACCAGCACCTATTGGAAGGTAGAATTATTTATTTCTTTGTTTCCTTGTTTGTTCTAGTTTCCAAGTAGAAGGCCCAATCATCTCTTTCTATAGGAGGATATGTTAGTGACTCTTTTCTATAACCCCCATCCTCTTGAAACAAACAAACAAAAAAACTAGAAAATGACTGTAAGAATGATAACTTTATTAAGGGGAAGGGATGAGGAAGAATGAAAGAAAAGAAAAAAACAACTTTTACTTTCCAAAGCACTAAAAATCGTTATTCCAACAATATCCCAGGGCTCTGGGGTTTGCAAATTATTTCTACTAAAACCTCTTTTAAGCTTAGATTAATCTGCCTTTTTGAGTTTGGAATTAAAGTGGGAGGGAGGAGAGATGGGAAAGAGCCTCCCTGTGGGCAGGGATCTCTGTGGCAACCTGGGAGTCTTTGCATTAGAATTCTGAAAAAGACAATTTGAGATTCTATTATACCAATACTTAAGGTTGCAATAAGCAAGTTTTAAAACACAATCTGTGATACATTAACCCTAATTACCTTAACATGACCTTTTTATCACATTACCTTGTTTAAAGTAGTAAACAGATAAAATAAAAGGTAAACTTTCTTTGCTTATTCTAGATGTTGGCTTAGGCAAGGATTTCATGACTAAGAACCAAAAAACAAATGCAATAAAAACAAAGATAAATAGCCGGGACCTAATTAAACTAAAGAGCTTTTGCACTGCAAAAGGAATAGTCAGCAGAGTAAACAGACAATCCACAGAGCAGGAGAAAATCTTCACAAGGCGGGGTGCAGTGGCTCACGCCTGTAATCCCAGCACTTTGGGAGGCCGAGGCGGACGGATCACAAGGTTAGGAGATCAAGACCATCCTGGCTAACAAGGTGAAACCCCATCTCTACTAAAAATACAAAAAAATTAGCCGGGTGTGGTGGCAGGTGCCTGTAGTCCCAGCTACTCGGGAGGCTGAGGCAGGAGAATGGCGTGAACCCAGGAGGCGGAGCTTGCAGTGAGCCAAGATCGCGCCA